TTCATGACAATACAATGAAAAGCTGGATTAACCAATCATTGGACAGATTTTAAAATAGGTTACTGCCTTTAATTACACACTAATACCAAAGCCTTGAATGAAGCGGTTACGACTGGGAACATATGTAATAATAACAGAAAATCATGGCCTCGCTGTATGGGTATGGAAGTCATTTTTACTCATGATGTGATGTATCTATGCTGTACATATATTTAATTCACCAATGATACAGTCACAGAATACACTGCATCACTTACGAAAATAACTTCCATTCCACAAATGTCAGGACAAGGTCATATCATTGTCATATTATTTATATGATTTTAGCACGAGCAAGAATACCAACCTCTGCGATCATGGATAGAAGACAGACATTTGTACCATACGTCATGCCAAATGTACCACCAGAACCAAATCCTATAGTATTAAAATTTAAAAAATAGCTCATTCAGTCAATATTTTCCATATAACTATGTTTATTGGGGTTCTGAGACAAAGCGTTTACAAAATTAATGACAGATATAAGTTGATACATGCTTTAAGCAAAGTGCTTATAATACTTTGTTCATGGAGGGATTTGTTTAAATTGTTTAAGTTAAGTCAGAGAACAGAGGCACAGAGTGATGAATGGATGGACAGATGAAACCAAAATTATAAGCCTGTGTTAAATCTCCAATTTAGGCATGATTTTTCAAACATTTTGATCTTTCCTGATGCCTAAATTAGTCTAATTTTAGTTATTCATAGTCACTGATGTCTGTTCAAAGTACAGTGTCTATAGTGGCTAATGTGAGTAAGTAAACCTTGTTTAGATACTGAGAAACCATAAAAAGTGTTTAATTCTTCTTCATTGCCAAATTCTTGATTAAAAAATTTGTTAGACTATGTTGTTGTTACCAAAAAATTAAAACTATGTATATTACATTAAAATATATTTTTGTCAGCACGTAAGAATACCAACGTTTTCTTTTGTTTGACTACTTTTCAACAGTTCGTGACGCCTATTTTAGAACGAAATTAAAGACTCTCACACCCTAACATGTAAATTAAAGTGACACCTAAATTAGTTTTTATGGTATTCAACTTCATGCTAGACTTGTTTCATAAATTGTTTTAATATCCAGTATCCGATTGGCAATAATCCACAGCCAGTACTACATTTTAACAAATTCAGAAGCTACATGTATATACACTTACCAAGATACATAGGAATGGGTCCAACCATGAAATCTATTCTGTAGTCAAAGAAATTTGCACCACGTTCCATGTGAACATCACCATCCATGCACATGTCAAAATTAGTAAATTCATCATCAAATATTTCAGATAGTTTGGTATTGATAGCTTCTTTTGTCTGAAAAATAATATATTAAATAACAAATTTTATGAAACCTACAGCTATACCGACACGTACACACATATCTTCACATACTTTATTTATACTCATTCAGACTCTCGTATTACTTCCATTCCCATGCTTATTCACAATAATTGTGCTCATTGAGACATGCTGAGATGCCTTCACATGCTACATCATATTTCTCACATGCTCACACACGTACATTACTAACTTAAATCTCACATTACTAATAAACTTGCTCCATAATACTCAATTCTCACCCACATTACATTACTCATGTTATACCCACCCACATTATTCACATGCTCACTCACTGCCATCACCCACTTGCTCACTCATATTACCTGCTCATATTATTAATGCTAACACTCATACTACTCAAATGCTAACACACTCACATAACTATTATACTCACTTACATGCTCACCCACTAACATTACTCATGCCCACTCACCAATATTACTCACATGCTCACCTGCTCATTCACATTACTAACATAACACTCACATTACTCACATGCTCTGTCAAATTACTTACATGCTCACTCATTCCTCAAATGCTCAATCACCTATATTACTCACCCACTCACATTACTCACTCACTCACCCAGGACTCAAATTATCACTCACTCTCTCACTCTCTCACTCATGCTCACTCACGCTCACTCACCCACCCACATCACTCATATACTCACTCACCCATATATTACTCATATACCGGTACTCACTCACCCATATATTACTCATATACTCACTCACCCATATATTACTCATATACTCACTCACCCATATATTACTCGCATGCACACTCACCCATATATTACTCGCATGCACACTCACCCATATTACACTCACATTCTACCCTGCTCAAATCACTCATATACCCCCTCACATTGCTTACATGCTCACTCATATTGCCCACCTGCTCTCACAATACTCAAATGCTCACTCATGCACATGCTCATTCACACACATTACTCACAGCTCCCTCATCCATATTACTCACATGCTCATTTCCATTACTCACACACTCCTTCACCCACATGCTGTCACATTACTCACATGCTCACTCTCTATATTACTCACATGCTGACACATACATCATCATGATGCAGATAGCCCACACACTCACGCTCACTCACCCATGTTACTCATATGCTCAATCACTTTACTCATATTCTCACTCACACACAATACTCACATGGTCACTCATCCATATTACTCACATGCTCACCTGCTCACAATACTCAAGCTTGCTTACTCATATTACTAACTCACTCATATTACTCACATGCTAATACTTACATCTATTCAGTAATATGCCCACTCACCCATGCACCCGCTCAAATTACTAATGCTCACTGATTCACATCAATGATCATATGCTCACTCAATGCACCCACATCACCCACGTACTTATATTATTTACATTCTTACTCACATAACCCATCACTCATATGCTCACATTACTCACATGCTCACTCAGATTAGTCACTCATATACTCAATCAGATATGACTCCACAACACTTGATGGTTTTGATGATTATGATTTATGATTTAACAGATGGCAATGGAATTGAAATAATTGACAACATACCATTTCCTGGTACAGTTTCCTGAGGTCTGTCAGGAGATTTGTGACGTCTTTCTCATCGATGCCATATTGATCAAGTAGGATTTCCAATTCTCCTAATGTCAGTTCAGACATCACTATACCTGCTGCAAAAAAATAAAAAATAAAAATCAGTGAATCAAAAGAAGCAATTAAATAAATCATTCACAATCAAACCAACAAATCAATCAATTAAAAGAGATCAATCAATCAATCATTCAATCAATCAATCAAAGACCTCTCTCCCCTTACTTACTTTTCCTTACTTCTAACATTATTCATTCTGTCTAACCTAACTCACGCACTGATACCTCACATTGTCTGTTTAATGCCGGTTGGTTTGCGAATCTCCCTGGCGCCGTCTTCTTATGAATATATAACAGTAGGGGACGATCGTCTTACACTTGAATGTCGATTTCGCTTTCAAATATGCAAGATAAAGTGTTCTATGTTCTTCATGTAATGAGGCGTTCGTCCACGCAAAAACGACAAATGAGGTTTTTAGCGGTTGGCTTAATGTTAGCCCAACAGATAGTTTGGATGTGAAAGTTAGTTGTTTTCTACCTGATTTGTAGGAAACTGTTTGTCAATACGGCTCTTTAGTTTCAAGCAGTGTTCAAGATGGCTACCCCCATATAGTAAGTATAGGTTAATCACATTCATCATATTATCACTTTACGCCAGCTGACTGGCCATTCTCAGGCTGACCATTGAAACTACGTATACATTATCACGCCTCGCATAACAAAGCAAATCATTCAGGGGAATCCAGACATGTACCAGTCTACGTCAAAACCCAAGCAGTTTGCAAATTAGCTGCCCCAATACTTCTGAGACTTGCTGTGAAATCCATAACACACAACCTTCAACCAACAAACTAACTCAAACTCACTTAAATTTAATATCCCTGACCATACACTCAAAACATTATATTGACACGGACACAGCAGCCACTTGTTCGGATAAAAAGAACCGCACATGAAAACAAGCACAGGCAATAAAATTATTTTCAACCTCATATGCATTACTTCATTTTGGTTCTTTTGTGACTTGTTATGAATCTCAGAGAAGTCTATATAACATTAATTGTTATAAATACGAATATTAATCTACTTATAGATTCATGATGTGTTTGTCGAAATTAAACAAACTAATGCATATTCATCCCGTGATGATACAACTCAAATCAATGCTATTATGACTGCTGAAAAATTCATCATAAAAATGATAAAATTATATTTTACTTCCAGTCTCTTGTTGCTGCTTTACAGAGTCTACATGTTCTTGCATGACTTCATCACACAGTGGTACATCTATTGTTGCTTCATCCAGTATTTTCACAGGAGCTAGGCATATGTCCACCTCAGTAGCACACAGTTCAGTCTCCAAAGTTACCTTGACAACAGAAAGAACATAATATAATTATAATATATGAAAGAACTTATATTACGTTACCTGACCCGCCTCTCAGCACCTTGCCTTGCGTAACATTGCATTGCCTCACCCCAATGTTGGATGGAGATAACAATGCACTACTGTTATTGTGCAGCTTTAATTAGATTTTAATTTTGGCCCACATTATTCTTGAGATGAATGATATCCAGGTATTTAAAGATTGAATTATTGAGATTTTTAAGATTTTCTTAAAATATCAAATGGTTTGAAAGCCCTTCAAGTTTGTGATATAGCATGAAAGTAATTCACTTTTTGGCAGTGTCTGTCAATGATTGTGCTCAAAATACAAAACAGCATCATAGTCCGGCGTTCTTTGAGTTCTTGTTTGAAAGTTAACTACTTTTAAAGACATCACAAAACTTTTTTATTTATTTAAATTTTGGTCTTTAATGCCCAACACTGTCACCTATAGGAATTCTACTAAGTGGTTTCAATGACCAGCACTGTCATCTATGGGAATTCTATTTAGTGGTTTCAATGACCAGCACTGTCATCTATGGGAATTCTATTTAGTGGTTTCAATGACCAGCACTGTCATTTATGGGAATTCTATTTAGTGGTTTCAATGACCAGCACTGTCATCTATGGGAATTCTATTTAGTGGTTTCAATGACCAGCACTGTCATCTATGGGAATTCTATTTAGTGGTTTCAATGACCAGCACTGTCATCTATGGGAATTGTATGTTGTGGTCTTCAATGCCTAAACTCATGGCTGACTTACAGTAATCTTGCCATCAGTCATCTCTATCTTGTGTTTCACTGTAATCTTCACCGCATCAAGCACATCAATACTTTCAATTGTTGGCTCACCTTCCTCATCTGCATCAGCTACAAATCAACAGTAAATACAAAGATTTATGAGATCAAAATCACAAGATAAACATACATTCTTATAAATACAGACTGAGTCAGTGTCGGTCAACTGCTTTGCTAGTGTCCTAGCTTGCTTATTAGCAAAGAATAATAAAAAGACTTTTTGGATGTTTTGTATGGAAATTATTTTCACTGATTTTGAATGAGTTGAATTTAAAATATAGGAAAAAAGGTATTTTCGCTGGATTTTATTTTCACTGAATCATTCTTTCAGCGAAAATAGCGAAAACTAAATCCAAGCGAAAATAAAGTAGTTTACAGTAACAATAATCTTGTTCATTGTGGTTTACGCATCCAAACCTTTCAAATGATCATATATGTTCCGTGATGTCATTTGTTATAAGATTATATTTCCACTTCCAGCTTACCAAAATCAAAGTCTATCAGATTAAACGTCTTGGTCCAGCTGTCAACACCAATCACAAGTTCAAAGTTGCATGGATTATACTGAACGTAGGCATTGAAAGACCTATGTAGATAGGGACCAAGTTGTAGATCAATGCAGCAAGTAACACCAAGGCAATGCTCATCAAAAGTACAGTAGATATTCTTGGAGAGTGCATTTCTCAACCCAAAACATTCTGTGGAGATATATAATACATGTAGATGGTTTTCAGAGATAAAATTCATTAAGTTGTCATTGAGGAGTTTTCAAAACTTATTTTTCACACAAGAAGTATTTTTTTATTCATTTTGTTAATAACATTTCTCCAATTACCAGAAAACTGTATATGATTATTCATTCTTTTCAAACAATATAAATTATTGCAAACTACGATATGTGTTCTTGCATATCTTGAAAAAAAAAACCTGTAGCTTCTATTAAAATGGTACAATGCAACAGAAGGGATGCGGCTTCTATTAAAGCATCTACACTTATGAGAAAAAATGCATATTTGTTTCTCAGTTATTCGAAAAGATTGGGTGTGATTTCTATTAGGGATGCGGCTGCTTATACAGATTTTATGGTATACCAATAGAAATTTTGTCATGTTAACAGTTTGGGGTAAACACATGTGAGCACAAACATTGTACACTGGAAATTTTCAAAATAAAATGCCCAAGTATGAACCGAATCACATTTGCATTGTTGCCATGCCAACTGATACATACTTTCCTCTGATTCCAGGTATCGTTTGACCAGTTCATCTCTAGATCCAGTTGTAGATTTCTTTTTTAGTTGTAGCCCATTTCTCAGTTCTTTAATGTCCATGGACTCAGGTCGTTGACACCCGGCAGTGTTGATTGCATTCTGCATAAAAAAGTCAAAAAGTATATTTGTCTGGGTACATCATCAAATCCACCATTTTATTCAGTCTAGTAGCTTGTTGTTAGACAATTAACAGTCTCTCTGGCCTAACACTTTTTTGTAACTAAAATCATTTGATTGATTGCTGTAATGTGCAATATGCCAAAGGAATAGGTCTTAGATCATAATTGACAAAAGTTGTTGTCAATGACTGTCCCCGCCCAATCAAAGGAGCTGATTTGTGTTCTATGCAAAACAGCATTCTTTGGTTTGAAAGATGCCACAACATCGATGTGACTTGCTATTGGTTGGCAATTCTACCTCATTCTACCTCTCAGCCACGACATTACACGACAGAAAAATGTTTCCACATTGTCGAGTGCAGCCTATAACAGTCTTTCTGCCCTTATTTGAAATACATTTTGCAAACAAATGACATTTAAGTAAGTTATTTTACTTAAAAAAAATCCACCAGGTCAGAGAGACTGTTGACTAGCTATTTGTGTATTTAAAATACTGTAAAGTAATTTATTTTAGCTGGAATTAATTTCTGCTGAAAAGACTTTTTGGGTTTTTCGTATGGAATTTATTTTCACTGATTTCTGACAAATTGAATATTTGTTATACTAATTATGTTGATGGACTAAAATTTCAATTCGTTTATGCTAATTGTATGCAAAGTAAGAGGACTAACACTTCATTCGTTATGCTAATTATAAGCAGAAAAGATGAACAGATTAGCACTACTGTAACAGTTCATTTGTAATTATATGCAACAAGCAACCTCTCGGCTGAGATAGCTGTTAGCAAATCACATTTCAATTAGCTCGAAATCATCACAAAATGAACAAATCTGAGACAGGTCCACCTGAGGTACCTGCATATATAATATCAAAGCAATCAGACTTGCAGTTTTCAACAAGAAGTCGAAAACATTACTTTTTACCGAAAATGACAAAAATATTCATTAAAATAAGAGATTAGAAGATATCATCACGAAATTAAGAAATCTGATAAAACAAACCTGATAATTATATGCAAATTAGGTGGAATATCTAATCGTTCAGTTAAGTTAATGGTTACCACTAATTTTCAAGAATTACAATTCACCTGGAGTTTCTCAAGTAACATTTCCAGTTGATCTTTAAGGGGTGTCATTTGTGCATTTTCCAGAAAGTCAAACACATTACCAACATTCAAAGCATTCATGTTGAAATCAAACACTGGTCCAAGTTCATCTATTCCAGGAAACCCAAGACCATCAACGAAGTCTAAAAAATAATGAAAAAAAAAATATAATATGTAGAATTTTGTGTTTACATTTAAAATGCTGACTTTTCTTCCTAGAAGCGTGATATCATTGTATTTATACTTAGTACCGTAGTCCCCTAATAAGTATCTAGTCTTTATTTCCATAGTTCTGGGATGAGAAATGTTGCATCTATCTTGCAGTTATTTGTAACTCATAACAAGGATACTACGAGGTTATTACAAGAATACTGCAAAGTATGCATAAAATCATTACGGTGATCGTACCAACTAATGCATAACTGAGGTTAGACTGGCAAAGTCGGGACTTCTTTTTTGTTTTACAAAAAGAAATAATTAATTGTTCTTATAGTCCTTTTAGTGTGATCGCGAAAATTAACCTGACCGCTAAGTCAACAACTTTTAATTAGCAAAATTACCGGAGTGATTTCGCTCCAGTTTTCACTCCAACGCAGAGGGTCGCTTGCAGATGCGTCCAGTCATGATTTCTTTCTCAGTCACGCTAGTTTTCGCCATTACGTTAAAAAGGCTAATTTGACAATTAATTATATTTTTGTTTGTAAAACTAAAAAAGAAATCCCCACTTTGCCAATCTAAACAGAGGTCAATATGTTATCCTGTAGTGCCTGCGTGCATACTTTGCAGTATTCTCATAATGATTTCATTCAAAGACAGGATATTATTTCCACCATATGCTATATAGTGCTTTTGTGACCGATGTACGTAAACCAGAAAAAGTGTTCAAATGCGACATAAAAGTGACATACATTTTTGAAATACGGAAAACATTGAAACGAGTTTGTAACTCTTTCGAACGTCATTTTACCGATGAATGTATTCTATTGTTTTTGGTGTGAGTTGTAATAACTGAAATCACTAACAATAATCACACCACGCACAAAGTTTGTGATTACCAACAGTCCTATGCTTTATTTGTTTTATAATTTAAAGCAGAGGGATTGTTACCTGATGGATACCGGCAAACAAGTCTTAATCAACTATCACAATGCATGCTAAAAACATAAAGGCTGATTGGTAAATGCTTGTTTGTGAAATGACGACATGCTAAGACCGTCTACTGCATGCAAAGGTAACATCTCCCTCGTTTTAACCTCTTCTAATCTCCAGTCTCAATAGGTTCGATATTTAGATCTTTTTTATTTGTACAATAGATGTGTCATTTTCTTTCAAGTTTTGTGTTTGTTTACAAATATGCAAATTAGATATTTAATTTTAATATAATACAATACATATGCAGCTTACATGAACAACAGTTCAAAGTGCATAGACTACTGATTTATTCCTAGAGCTTTCAAAAAACTTTCATTATATGGACATTACCTTTGGCTGCTCCAAATAAATCATTTATGATGCCACGCTTTCTTCGTTTAGCGATACTGTCCATATCTGAAGTATCCGGTTCACTAGTTCTATCTGGTGATGTGTCACTTTTTACTGCTCCTCCAGTTATAGATCCCGACATTTCAACTTTCATCTGCATAATAAAACACACATTTTTTTTATTGAGTTATTAGCACCATGCTCAGTACTGCATCTTACAAAACTAAATTCACTTTCAAGTATCAGCGCGCCTACTCATAAATGAAAATACCCAGCATTTATTTATTTTGCAATAAATTGTACTTCAAGGCAATAAAAGGACACTAACTTAAAAACGTTAAGGGTCACCAGCCGGGACATAGGCCTCAATGACGCCTACACACGAAGTCCCCTTAGGTGGCGCCCTCACTCAAGTACCACGTCGTCCTTGCCATGATGTTGGTCAAAGGCGACCAATATCATGGAATAGACGCTTACACGCTACTTTTCTCGCATATCAGTCTCTTGTGTCATTCCTAGTGTGTTAATATGAGGAAATACGAGGAAATCTCAGCAGTGGTTTGTTCTGCCAAGGTTGCCGTTATCCTGACCGCTGATGTTTAAAGTTATTTATCTTCTGGTCGTTTCTATATGTTATAATACTTTCTGAATGTGACTGCCTGAATACATTTGCTAGACAGTTACAAGACAATCAAATATTTCAGAAATTCATGGGATATGGTACAAGACCTCTATAATATATATAGATAACGTACTTATAGTGTCTAATAATTATCTTGTATGTGTCTGATAATACCTGATTTTTTTGAGAGAGGACTTACTTTGTAAATGAGAACATAGTCATCGCACTCAATATGCCATCCTGGTGGTGGCATTTCACGCTTCATCAGATATGAGGTTGGATCAATATACTCGTGTACTTCTTGTGTTCGAAGACTTAGATGGATTATATTAGGAGAACAGTCTGATGACGCGACGGTACCAATACGATGATCCTTAGAAACCTACAAAGTTTCAATACCAAAAATAACAAAAACATTCGCTAAAAATGGAGAATTGATATTGCCATGGAATGAACAAAATTCCAAGTATCAAAGCAAATAAGCTGGTAGTAAGATGGAACTGTAATTGTTGATGGACAGAGTAAGGACGATGGACAATCATCTATATGAACATTTACAATTTACAATGACAGTGTAGCTGAAAAGTATACTGCCCTCACTTTCCCACCAATTTCATTTTGAGAGTATATACTGAATGGTCTCTCAGACAAACATATCTACAAAGTGACTGATCTTTCGAGGACAATCAAAAAATTCCCAACTCAGTGAGTTGTTTAAAAACTTAGCTTAATTTAAGAGGTACACCTAAATTTTTCAATTCTCATTCACATGCAATCTCAACATTTAATAATAATAATTCCTATATAGTGCACTACTAATAAGAGCTTTAACACCAGTGCCCTTTTTTATCACAAATTAAATTAAAGTCTTGTTTATAGTCGGCATTTTAAAAAAATGTAAAATTGACTCTATAGATGAGAGACTGCAGACTTCTCCGTAATGTGATTTGCATGTGTATCAGGATGAGCATTCATAAAATCACTCAGAGGCCCAGTATAAAATAAAAATCCTTGATAGGTCCTTGAAGGATGCCGCATGGAAGTGAGAAAGTGTCAGAAAGTACATACATGTACCCAGAGGTACATTACTTGGGGTTTGCAACGCGCATAGTACTGTATGGTGACATCATGCCAAGATCCCATTCAAGTCTCATCTCGTAGATAACGAGACTGGTGCTACAACCTTCTGACATGACATAGGCAGTTTGTAATAAAACAATAACACATGTATTACCACATTCATAGTGAAAAAATGTAACACATCAAAAATTTACAGAAAATATAGTTATCGTAATCTGTCATATTGTGAGCAGCTATTTTGATCCACCTGAACTTCCGAGTATCCTAGTTACCTCGGGCATGCGCATTCACATTTTTCTGAGTTGGAACGCTTTAATATGCGTGAGCGAGATTGAAACGGGATCTTGGTACCATGTCACCGTAGTTGCAAACCCCAAGTAATGTACCTCTGATGTACCTCATATATTTGCAACTTTAAAACAATAGACGATTGTTCACAGCAACTAAATAATAATGAATGACCTTAAATCTTAAAAGGTATAAATAAACAAAAATTTAAAGAGTTCCATTACAACTTACATGTTGGTTTTCCAGGCCTGGGTCGAGGATAACATTGTACAGGATTATTTCATTGTCCTTCAATTCCCTCGTAATCACCAATGTGATTTGGTTGTTTCCAGTCACAGATACAGTACCATCAAAAGGAGCAGTCAGCTACAAAGTGACACAATCAGCAGTCGTATTAACTCTTAGAGTGCCAAAGTAACAGAAATTTACCCAAACTTAAACGGAAAAAAAATTGTCACTAATTGTTGAGATACTTTGAAGTTCGCTTATTTTTGAAATAAATATTTTTAGTAGGATGTTGTGTTACAATGTGTTTGCTTTCCGCCAGCAAATTTATGTTTTTTTTATTAAGTAAGAAGAAATTACATTTTTCCATAATTTAAGAAGTAATACCACATTTACAATTGTTTTTGAATAATATGAGGATACCAGATAGACAGTACAGCGGAAGTATCGACCGACACGCAGTGGAGGTCGACACGATGGTGTACTCCGTACTGTCTGAGTTATTATTATACATCTTTCCTTCCAAGGATACATCATTAGAAAGCCGAAATCCAAAAAGTTTAGAACAAAATCAGCGAAATTTATTGTGTGGTGTCCAGACAAACCACAGCTAGTTTGTATTATTAGGGGACACTTACGCACAAAATCGTTCCATATTTGGTATTGATAATGCTATAATAATGTAATTTACAATAAAGTATTGCCTCTAACAAAAGTATTATAAATATACTGTTGAAAAGTTATCATGAAAGGGCCATTAATGTTAAGTTGGTGTAAAATCCATTCTCACCTCATCTCCAGCATTTGCCTCTAAGTCAATTCCTGGTAGTGTGTTCTGATTGGTGTTTTCAAACCGCCCATCTCCACAGCTACCAGTCGCAATCACTCTTGGAAACTTCTTACCCATCTTGGGGCCAAATATTTTATTGATTGTAGTCTTGGCATCATCATATCTGTCAAAAAAAGATTGCCTTAGCCTTTTCACCACCAGTTCACTCTTTTCATTACCAATTTAAAAAAAAAAAATCCAGTTCATAGTAGTATAGGAACAAAAAGTAGCTAAATCTTTTTGAGTGAAAACTGAAAATTTACTCAAATTTTGTCTGTTGGCTTCAAAATTAGGGTTTATTTCTAATATTGAAGAATATAAGAACAAGCAGCCTGTCGGCTGAGATAGCTCTGCTGTTAGCAATGCACATTGCAATTAAAAAACAGAAGATAGCATTAGAAAATAAACAAATCTGAGAGAGGTCTACCCAAGGTACATATACACCAAGTATCAAAGCATTCAGGCTTTTAGTTTTCAAGAATAAGTCAATAAAGTCAAACATTGACACGAACGCCGACGACGGATGGCGACGGACAATCACTCATATGATAAGCTTTGCTCGACAAAGTCTACAGTGGCGCCAAAAAAGTGCCGAAACATATCTGATAACCTACCTTCATCATTTGATTACATTTTCTCTATTTAAAGAGCATCAAAAACAAGTTGAAGCGCACATAAACCAAAAATTGAATTTATTGACCATTTTTCACTGTGAGATCCCACAACAAATCAAACATAATATGACACAAACTAAGATCATAGTATTGTATTGGTGTCAAACCATCATGTGGCATTTTGTTGTATTTCCCTGCTTAGTAATGTGACATTTGATGATGGTCAATTTTGATGAAGTAAGAATATCTCAATCCCATGTTCTCATCTGAGAGATCAACAAGAAAAGAATTCAAGTTCAAAATCAAATGAGTTGATTTTTGCGATGGACATTGGTTCGTGCTTTTGACGCAATATGCAAGGTCTCACACTGAACAGAAAATCAACTATTTGAAAAAAAACACTTTATCCATAGACGTATCTCTTTTATTTACGTATGCACTACTAATAGAGGAAATACAGTAAAACTGTTTTTAACAAACATTACGGATACAGAAAATATATATGCAAATATATATATTTACACTTACGCTCTTTTTATTCCTTCATAAGCTTGCTTGATACTTTCTATTGTACCAACGAATGAATCATACGCCAAAACAAACGGCTCTGCCAGTCTCTCTATCATTCGTACTGGAGTTATTAAGGTATCAAATTCACCCCAGATCTCATCAATAATCTGCTGCTTAATGGTAGACTGTAAAATACGATGAACATATTGATTAGTTTTTACAGAGACAGAGATGAGACGAGACGAACGACTGCAGAAAACTTGATGCATCACATTCTACTGTAAAATGAATAGTTTTCACTGGATTTAAATTTGCTGAATTACCATTTCAGGCATATTCAGTAGGTTTTAAATTCACGGTTTGGTCATTTAGATAATGTGTTCTATGCTAAATTTTACATATTCACTGGGTTTTAATTTAGCGCATTTTCCAGTCAGCGAAATAAGCAAAATTAAAACGCAGTGAATAATTAATCTTTTTACAGTATTATTAGGTAAGCATCTAGATGCATGTAACAAGTCCACAACTGCCATATCACACTTCTTCCAATAGTTTGTGTCCTGTGAAATACTTTTCTTTTGCTTGCAATTTATTTTCGCTGTGGTGGTGGTGATTCAGGGAAAATAAAATCCAGTGAATATACCATTTTTTCCTATAATTTACATTCAACTCACCAACAAATTAGTGAAAATAAATTCCATACAAAACACCTGAAAAGTATTGAAAATTAATTCCAGCTAAAATAAAGTATTTTACAGTAACCAATATTTGCAAACATGCTGTATTTATTATGTTAACAAGGGACTAGTTTTAAGGTATCACTAAATTCAACAATTCCTTCTATGATAATTTTGAAAAATATAGACATAATTTCCCATTGTCTACATGTCTTCATGTATTTCTTTGAACAAATTTTGCTGATTTAATTTGTGAAAGGGAGCAACAGTTCACAGGGTTGATCAGTGGCACATTTTCTTGAGACAATATTACATGAGGTAATAGAAAATAACACAAGACAATGTGACATGACCACTGAGGATGGACTATTAGAGCATCAACTGATTTTAAAAAAAATCAAATTTCGCCTTAGGAATTGAACTTAGGATAACATCTAAATGTAGTTCATCTAATATCCTCAGGGCAGAGCTACGTCACAAGGCGCTCCATGTTGCTAAGATGCACATCACTGTAGCATGTATTTCTATGGGCTCTGCGCGAGATGCTGTGGAAAGCCGGTTGAAGAGCCGGTGAAAAAAGCTAAATTCAAGAAAACAACACAAATGCAACTATGAAGTAATGCTGAATAACCAAATTTATATATGTTGGACATGCAGGGATCATCTTGTTACACTGTTCAGGGGGTCTCAACAACCATCCCAAAGTAACGTTTCTTAAGAACTTTCGGCCTTTGTTTTCACCATGACAGTTGCCAGGCGGTGACAATGCCCGGATGTCTGCCCCCGAGAATAGGCAAAATTCAAACAAATGCATTATGTAATCTGAAAACATACTTCTCAGGGTAGAGTGAACCAAGCGAGTATTCAGGGGTGGAATAACACACTGAAGAGGAGCACTTGCAACTAAGATGTTTATTACTCATCTGATAGGCTTGCAACTAAGCCCATGTATATATACTCATGAGATGCTCCATACAATGTATCAATATCATTATGCTAATAACTAAACTAAACGTCATAGCCTCAAATCATCACAGCATATTGTGCTTGAAGTATGTAAGAAGTTTTTTTCTTACCAATGGCACTCCAGTGAATTTCTTGAAAGTGTCATCATCTTTTGCACCCTCAGTAATCCACTCTAAAGCATCACCCAGATTGTCCTTGGCATTGAGAATATCTTCCACGATACCAGCAATCTCATCCCTGAGATTGAACCAATATGGCTTCTGCCCATCTAGAAAGAAACATGCCTTGACGATTCTATTCTTGGCGTCAAATACACCAGCAATCGCTGCCTTGATCCTGAATAATGAAATAATACATAATTTATATAATATCTAAATAATATATTACACATTATTATACATCTGTCACCGTAACGGCATAAGTTACAGCGTGCCATAATTTTGCGGTATTTTACGGGGTATTTTCATCTTACCATATTAGGAAATGCAAATTCCAAATATGGAATGATTACGCGCATAAACGTCCTCTAATAATAAAAACAAACATGGCCGCCACCAGAGTTTGACCGGACTCCACACAAATAGTTTGCTGATTCTTATTGGATTTCGGCATTCCCATGATGTATCATTGGATGCGTGTCGGTACATACTCCTACTGTACTGACTTTGTGCATACTTTGAGGTATCCTCGCAATAACCTCATATTATTAGCGTATTGTGCAAAAATAATAAACAACCATGGCACTATAAACTTTTCACTACCAGTTCCCTCTTTTCATCACAAATTCACAAAATAGTCCTGTTTATAGTGTACAATTTCCTTCAGACGATTTGGACAAGAATAGACAAAATGTTTCGAGTAAAAACTAATAATTTATTTAAATTTTGTCTGTTGGCTCCAAAATTAGGGTTCAATTCCAGAAATATTCATAAATTGTAGAAAAAATTGCAGAAAAATTTAGGCAAGAAAGTCTGGTGGTGGAAAGGATAAACCGACTAAGGAAGATGGGGGTGTCATTATTTCCACTCACTATTACTTTGGTGTTTCTCAATGGCGGAACAACAATTTGCTACACTTTATTTATCAGCCAATGATATTACATGACAACACTGTCTTCACTTACTTGTATATAGATTTGGCAATATCAGTGATGGCAGTTCTGGGTGATTTAAATAATTTCTTGACTGCTTGGGCAGCAGCTTCAATGGCGTCCATTATCTGTTCAGCTGCCCAAGGTAGAGTCACAGTTATCGTATCAACAATAGACTGCAATCAATTAAACAATATTTCTGACATTTATCATTTGAATTTGTAGAATTGAACTAATATCATAAGAAACAAATTGTTTACAACCGTAATTATTCTGTTTTAACAATATAAGTCTTAACTTCTGTGGCAATGTATCAACACGACTGTTGATAGATAACATTTTCTTTTCATGTAATGTGCAAACATCTCAAAGCAATTTTGAGTGCCGGACATATCAGAGAGGATTAGCTTTATCTAATATAGTCAAACATGAGTATAGTGACCACCATTAAAATGGTCTTTAATATTTTTTGATGATCGCTAACTTGTACATTTAAAGCGGAGGGTCGTCACCTGCACACACGCGAAAATTGAGTCCCAAGCGATGATAATAACAATACACGTTAAAAATGCAGAGGCTCATGGATAGATGTTTGTTTGTAAACAATGACATGCTATGGCCATCTTACGCATACACAGACAACCCCCCCCCCACCCGCGAGCTTTAACTGAAATAATGAAAATAGAAAATAATGAGATAGTACCATTGCAACAATGGTTTAAGTTAAGAGAATTTAATAACTGTTTTATGAATGGAATGCTAATTATTCTCAAGGTCTCTAAACAAATTAAGCTACCTGAATCTGCAAACATTGCTGAAAGGGTTGTCACATAAGATGGTTTAGTCCCTATACAAGGTTAATTACCTATATGTTATATGCCCAAAAATTGTCACTATAGACAGGTGGTCACTATAGGCAAGTGGTCACCATAGACAGGTGGTCACTATAGGCAGGTGGTCACTACAGGCAAGTGGTCACCATAGACAGGTGGTCACTATAGACAGGTGGTCACTATAGGCAAGTGGTCACCATAGACAGTTGGTCACTATAGGCAGGTGGTCAATATAGGCAAGTGGTCACCATAGACAGTCACTATAGGCAGGTGGTCACTCTAGGCAAGTGGTCACCATAGGCAAGTGCTCACCATAGACAGGTGGTCACTATAGGCAGGTGGTCACTATAGACAAGTGGTCACCATAGACAGGTGGTGACTATAGGCAGGTGGTGACTATAGACAGGTGGTCACCATAGACAGGTGGTCACTATATGCAGGTGGTCACTATAGACAAGTGGTCACCATAGACAGTTGGTCACTATAGGCAGATGAGCACTATAAGCAGCGGTCACTATAGGCAAGTGGTCACCATAGACAGTCACTATAGGCAGGTGGTCACTATAGGCAAGTGGTCACCATATACAGGTGGTCACTATAGGCAAGTGGTCACCATAGACAGTTGGTCACTATAGGCAGATGAGCACTATAAGCAAGTGGTCACTATAGGCAAGTGGTCACCATAGGCAAGTGGTCACCATAGGACAGGTGGTCACTATAGGACAGGTGGTCACCATAGACAGGTGGTCACTATAGGCAGGTGGTCACGATAGGCAGGTGGTCACCATAGGCAGGTGGTCACTATATGCAGGTGGTCTTTATATAGAGGTGGTCACTAACACAGGCTTCACTGTAGTAAAATATAGGATCTTGTTGGATTCAGCAACCAATCTTGAGAACAGTGTCCATATCCGAAATAATCATGCAAATCAAAACTTGCACTTGAACTTGCAGTCACCATATTGAAAAGTGTTATGCAGAGGGGGTTGTGGGAATTTGTTTATCAACACAAGAATTTGATACGTAAAAAAAATGTCAACATGCAAGCTGCTTTTTGTAAATAACTTTGCATTGACTGCAAATCTGAATCACTGTTTTTAAGATATATTTGCAACAAACTTACAAAAACATTTGTTGATAAAAAAAACAACTTTCATCTTACTGGTACAAGAGCTATATGTAAACACACATAATCATGTAACCTGCATGTATATGTAAATGCATAGTTGGGTTAAGACTTACATTATAAAACTCCATTACATCTGTCTTTATATCATTCACAAGTGTACTAACTCTATCTACAATATTTCTAACATCTGTGACAAATTCCGGCAGTCCACTATATTCACCAATCACACGAACTAAATTCTTCCCGATGTTTCTCAGGTCCCTAATTCGATTCGGTAGATCTTCAATAACGGCAACAAAATCATCAAATACACTATTGGCATTAGACTCTGCACTTGAAAGCAGGTTCTTAAATGTCTTGATGGTGTTTTCCACACTGTTTATCATGTTTCTGACAACACCATCATACTTCTTCACCAATTCAATTATGTCATAAAAGCCAAACTCCTAAAAAAAATAGAATGAGATAAGGCTGAGAAAAAAAATATCTGTTTCTCGTTTCCGTGCACATCATGTTGAACTATGCGCCTCAAACGTTATGTGTGTGTGTACTTGCATTACTAATGTCCCGAGGACAAAAATACAGATATATACCAACTTCCGAGGACATATACCTTTTTCATAGTCCTCGGAAAACATAATTTATATTAATAGTTAATTTGATTATT